AGAATGGGGCAAGTCACTGCAAGCGGTGAAAGTGAATTATACATGTATCCTCTAATTTGAACCATCTAAAATCACGTCAAGAAGACGAGGGGGATAGGCAGTCAACAACATCTTTATTAGGTGCATTGTTTGATTCCGCTCTTGAGGAAAAAAACTGGCACATGTGTCGCGAGGGTGTAGTTTTCGTTATGAAATGGCGTTATCGTTTTTATTTCTTTAAGCAAACGAATATAGGTCCCTGCGAAAAACAGAAGGGTCAGTAATTGGGAGAAATAAAATCTCCACAGATCCGGTTTGATCACAGAAACGCAGTGAACTTAATTTTTTTGAAAAAAGGCGAGACATTGCTCTCGAGATACGTGATTTACGGTTTCACTATCGATATTATTTCTGAAGAGGACGGAGGAAAACCCTTCGTTAAATATTTTAATATCTAATATTTTTCTGTTTTCTCGCTATGTTGCTCTCATTTAGCGTATCGTCATGATCTAATACTTTTGTGACTCGATACAAATTAAGATATTTCCTGTCAATATACAAGTTTTACAAGGACAAATGTGTGTGACGGACGGACGGTCTAGACTAAAGATGCAAGAGGGACAACACGAAGACAGGAATATGAAAATGTGCGGAAATTCATGTTGGCAAACCTGAATGAGGAAAATTGCATAGATTAAACCAGGCAGTAAAGCCGATCATGTGCGGAAGCTGAGCCGAGCCGTCATCTGGAGTAAAATTCACGTCATTTATTACATTATAGATGCTAATAGTGGCGATTATTGAAAGTTGGCAATACTGTTTTTCTCCATTTAAATACACGTAAAAAAATAGAATTAAATATTTTTGATGGAGTCGAACTTTTCGATTATTTCTATCAATATTTCCGAATCGATAATTTTAATCGATCTATATTTTTAATGGATTTGAATGGAGTAAAACTAGTGTTGCCAACTTACAAAATCGCCACTGGATACTAGTGTAAAAAAACTCGAACTGTGAGATATACGAAGTTGTGAGGGTTCTTCCAAAAGTTTTCTATTCTTATCCTCCTGTTACATTTTCAAATAAAGGGACAGTGGTGTTTTTTACTGAAAATTGGGAAGGGATAATTATCACGCAGAAAGGGCAAAGAAGTATGCGGTTGCGCATGTCTTAATTCATTTCGCCTTCAATTTTGGAAGTAGGCCAGACAACATCCTCAGTGCTGTAATAGTTACCTATCCGAAGATTTGCGTCTTGTATTGCCAATGAATCCTGTCCCGCTGTACGAGTAAATTATGTTCAACTCAGTGGCGTGGCGTGCTTTGCGATATATCGATTGATTCGCCACTCAAACCTATGAAAAAAGATCGATTATCAGGGTGTTCGCAGCGAACACCTTGGTAATCGATTCTTTACCATAGCTTCAAATGGCGAGCTATCGATAATCGATCCTTTAAGCCACGCCACTGGTTCAACTCCGCATGCCGATTTTGAAGATTGCTTTGTTTTTTTCCAAATCACAGTCAAATTAAGTGTAAATTAGAAAAGTAATAGTTCACCCCAAATCTTCTTGGATTCAATTATTTGCAGTGCATTGGGGAAGTATTGCTTTCCTTGCACAGGTGCAGAAAATTATAAGCAGCCAAAAATATTTATTTGCTGGTATTCACTATCATAATATTTTTAGAAAGTGATTTATAATCAAATAAATTCAGTTCACTGAAACATAAGGAAGTTTTTCTTATATTTCTTATAATTTCCTTCATTTGAGTTTAGAATCGTCCGATTCTATGTCAACGCGTTTAAGCTAGAAAAATCTGCAATTACAGGTAAGGAGATTTAAAAACGGTAACTTGACTCCGAGGTGACGTAATTCACCACAAGAGGGAACCGTTATCGCTAAAAAGCGAGAGGTAAAAGCTCAAACGGTAGGTCAAAAGGATGAGGCTTCAAAGGACATTAACAGGACCTCACTCGTTAAGATTATCACCTACTCTCACGCTTCAACATTGCCGTTCAAGACTGCACCAATGAAAAGTCTAAAATGTCGCTAAAGCAGCATTAATCACATTGGTCAAAACCTGACTTAAGAACCATAATTCTTTGTTTCATTTATTTCGTAAAGCGATATTTTTTAATATTGCCTCAAAATCTGCAAAGCCCCAGCAATATTATTAATTAACGTTGAGGTAACATTGAGCCAGCAAGCAATATTACCTTTTTGTCTTATTTTTTCTCATGAAGATTTATGCGTTCGTGCTTATAATGAGCCAAAAGGTTAAGATGTGCATTGCATGGTTAAGGGAGTTTAAATAAAACGCGTATGCTGGCAAATTTTTCTCTAACTTTTTTATACAATTTTTGTAGAGGGAATTCGAACGCAAAAAAAAATAAAAAATAAAAAAATAAAAAAATAAAAAAATAAAAAAATAAAAAAATAAAAAAATAAAAAAAATAAAAAAATAAAAAAATAAAAAAATAAAAAAATAAAAAAAATAAAAAAATAAAAAAATAAAAAAATAAAAAAATAAAAAAAATAAAAAAATAAAAAAAATAAAAAAATAAAAAAAATAAAAAAATAAAAAAAATGATGAATCTTGCATAAAAATTATAATTTCCAGAATTCTGTCCTTTCCTCACAGACAGATTCAGAAATTATTATAAAAGACGTATGTGTGAATGCTGTTTTCTACACTGACGGAAATTGAGTAGTGTGTAAAGAACCACATTTTCCGGCCCTTCAAGGAAGGATTTTCTTTAAACTTTTAATCAAAGGGACCCTCAAGTCTATCTACTCAAGACAGGTTGGCATAAAAGCTTTCGTGAGAGGTGTTTCGAGTAAAAATAACAGTTTAATCCTTGTAACGTGCCATAAAGTGTACGCTTTGCGTCTCTGCTGATGACACTTTATAGGATGGTTTAGCTGAAGGGGGATTTCAGCAAAAACTTTTTCCGATAAAAACGTGATTGTTGAGCACAAATAAGAATTTAGAATTTCGCGCGGGAAACTGATAGCTCTCTCAGAACGCTATCGACCAGACTGTCATTTAGACCCATCCAAGTTTTTCAAGGTGCGTGACTTTTTTATGATTAGTGATCCTTAGAAAAAGTGAACACAGGAATGAAAAAATCATCATATAGGGATTCTCAATAAAAAAAAGTCTCTGAGTCTTGACGTGTCAAACAGCCTCCCTTAAAATAGGTCTCTATTTTTCGATTGACGGAACTTGGGATTTCATGGACTTATCGTGTGACAGACATAAAACCTCAGGACGGGAGATAGTTCAAATTGGATGTCAGCTTTCATCTCCGAGTGATCTCAATGTTATAGCTTGTCAATTTACATGTTGTGTAAGAAAAGGTTCCTTCATGTAATAGTTATTTATGCTAAAATGTATTTTTGGATTATTGTTTCTTCAAAATTAGAGCTGAGCCTAAGCTAGACATTTTCATGGAGAATGTCTAATACTTAGAGAGTTTCATTTTAGAAATTCTTTAGATTCAAAATAGAGAAATTTTAGGAGAGTGCCTTGCATGCATGGTTCTCTTCATCAGAGATGCTGCGAGAGATTTTTGGAAAATCTTGCTGATCGAAAGGAAAATAGTAAAAGCATCAATAAAATACCAGTCTTAATCGCAAAATGCGCCATGAAGACCTCTGCTAATATCGCAAAGAAACGTGTTATTCAAAAATAATTCATACATTCAGAAATCAATTAGAAGGTGAGAATAAAAAAGCGAGCTTTTTGTAAGGTTCTTGTTTAGAACTGATTTCTGGACCGTTTCCATTCATAAACTTCGTCGAGAATCTTTCTTGGTGACAATACAATATTAATTTAAAAATTGACGAGAATAAACGTCATAAATTAATCTCATTATCTGCTGCAAGGTATTTTTCATGATAATGTGTCTCATTTAATTAAAATGGAGTATTTCGTTGAAAAATACCTCGATTCCCTTGCTCTGAATACCGGAACTGTGCTTGTGTAGGTACATTCAATTTCTTAATGGAGTGATTTTTCATCATTTCCTTTCCTTAATTACTCTCACTGCATTCACAAGGCGCCTCGAGAAAAATAGAGGGGCGCTTTATAAAATCCCTCTCAGTTGCATTTAATACCAGTGTTGTAAGTTTTTTCTACGAGGAGGTTTATTAATTTCCTGGCACTTCTAAAAAAATTTTATATGATTGTATTGATACTGATGGAATGTTGGATTGTGTATTAATGTGCGTAAAAAAAGATCATCCCTAAACAAGTATCATACAAATTGCATAAGACGCCTTAATTTGTTGCACGCTTTATCAATGTAAAGGCAACCTAATTGACTTAGAAATTTCGTGGAGGGACGCCACACGTCAAATTGTGATACAATTTTTTAAAATTTCTTTATCACAACCTAATCAGCGTAAGGTTCTTCCCTACTTAATGGCCTAAGTGTGCGAGTAAGCTCTTAAATTCCTAATATACTGGCAATAAATACACACTTACGACACATAACTTACAATAAAGGCAAGATATAACGGGCAGCCGCAATCTAAACCAAATTACAAAATACTCTCGTAATTTTTAAGTACAAATCATACACAGTCTTTGCACTGATAATTCAAGTTTGTGCGACGAAAATACACGGCGTGAGACAAATTATCTATGAGATTACACGATAGCTGTCAAAATTCTCTATGACACAATCTACAATAAATTGGCCGCTAATTATAAGGCGAAATAATATCAGTGGTCCATTACATTTTAATTCACTTGAGGGCGTCTGTTTTGATTTATTGAGCAATCAATTATGCGTGCGTGATTCAACTTTCAAGCCAACCGAGTAAAATGAAACCATTACTACTCGCTCATAGGTTGAACGTACGATACATACAAGAGTGAAATTTACACCCAGGGTATTAGGCGGAAATAATTAGCAATCGACCGGCTACGGGTTCAACAATACTCATTGGTGGAATTTTCACAAATACGCACTCAGTTACAATCCGTTTAAGAGAGGTTAATTTCTGGTACCTGGAACCCCTGGAATGCCGGGTACGGTTAAAAAAGAACCATAAGTTGTTGGAGGTTGCGCACAGTATTTGGAAGAAGGATCACTTGCGCTTCTTCTTACTGTCAACTCAGTATCGCTGGATTGGCTGGAGACACTCTCTTAAAAGCAAACCATAAAATAAACCTGAAAATCCTGTGTTAATTTCGCTGCATTCAAGGTCAGCGAACAGGAAATTTCTAATACGAGTCATTAATTTGATACAGAGGCATCATCTCAGTAATTGTTTTTTTTTTGGGAGGGGAGGGGAAGGTAGGGGAGAGGAGGGTTTTGTTAAAAGAAGAAAAAATTTGCTACGGAGGATGGAGCAAACGTCAACAAATTCCCAGAGGTGCCCCAAAATTGATCAAACTAGCCTAATGAAAGATCAAGTTTAAAAGACAAAGAGATAAAGAATGTACGCACGGTGGACGGCTAGCTATAGTATTGTTTTACAAGGCTTTTTCAGTGCTATTGGTTTGCTCAGTTGCATTCAAGCTTGCATTCGATTAAACGATTATTACCAAATAAGAGTGCTTGTCGTGACTTCTTGTTGTAACATAAACCGTTTTTATGTCTTTCTTTACTTGCGATATCAAGCGATCCCGTGTTTTGACAGCCAACAAGTAGATTATCACAGTCACCTCTTTATGTGTTAGCCTCCAAGATTCAAAGTAAAAGTAGCAGTTTCCTCGAAAATCTCTTTCACATTCGAAAAATAATCAATGTGATTGGCTCCTCTCCGAAATTCAGAAAGTTGAGGGCAGCCGTCCATGATTCGATATGAAGCGAGAAATTCCCTCGATAATTCGAAGCTTCGAAAGCTAATATGACTGTCACTCTAGGTATAGCCTGTTCATTCCCCCTGTCATTCAAAATCGACTGTTGGCATTAGCGGTGCATTGAAGCTAGGAAACAGTTTCCGAGATCATTTGTTATTCAAGTTAGGTTTTCTCGCATCTGTCTGTAGGCAATCATGGATGCCTGCAGGGAATAGACGCTTTTAGTGCTACATCACAGAAAAGCGATACACATCGATATATTCTCATTGTTAGCATTAAAAGAGCCCTGGTAAAATTTGGCAGTAGAATCTGTGTTCCAAAATACCATAGACCTATAACCGGCTGTAAGATTTCCAATAGCTTCTATGGCCCGCTACACAATTTCTTATAGCCTTTTATAGCTGATAGCGATTAAGCAACAGCCAGGTGATAAAGTGTGTGCTAAACGTTACTAATTACGGATGCTAGGACTTAGTGAGTTTTTGGACCACTGCAGACTGCTCTCTCTTTGGGCCGTAGTATCTTGATTTATTTTGCGAGGAAAGCTCCGTACTTTTGATGGATCCCTGCCATTCCTATTAGAGCGCCTTCAGTTTCGTAGGATACTGTGTAATACCTCTGGTGTGAAATAGTTGCTTCAAGCGCCGTGGCAGGCGGGCAGCCATCGCGAAAAAGCACACGCATTGGCGCCTACAAACCTAACAGGGATACTTCACGCGTTGCGCAATGCGTGAAGTATCCCTGTTAGGTTTGTAGGCGCCAGTGCGCCGCCGCTCCGCTTTATGTTAGGCTCTAATATTTAATCTGGCGGAGTCAGCGTTATTCAACTCATGATTTTGAAATGTTTGCACATCCTGTATGGATTATTCTCATTTTAATTGATGAAAAAAAATATGCATTAAAGGAAAATATAACGTGTGTTTTGTAAATATTAAGGTGCGGTTCCGTATCAAACTAAATGATTCCCAAAGAACGCGAATTTCTACACAATTTCTTGTAGCCTTTAATAATCGATGGCGAAAAAGCAACAGCCAGGCGATAAAGTGTAAAGCCCGGCGATAGGAACTATAGCCCGGCTGCATAATTTTTTATCGCTTCGTATAGCCCGGCCGTTCTCCGCATTCTTCAGCCAGCTATATGATTTTCTGTAGCCTTCTTTAGCCGGCTATAAGAATTCCTATGGTATTTTGAAACGCAGCTCTTATCACAAATTTTTACCAAGGAGATCCAAGGAGGGGTCATTGCTGCTGTTTCGATTTAATTCGATTAAGTGGCGAATCCCGTCACCGCTAATATCGTCTATGTATAATAAAGTTTAAGCGAAGGAAAATTTGAAAAGGACCACGCATTTTAGAGATTACTGAAATCGAACCTTAAAGAACGTGGGAGACTTTTTATTGATTTTACATTTAAAGAGACTTAATCCATTTAGCAACGCATCATATGCACTGGAAAGAAAACACATTGGATCTAGAGTCCAGACTCTTGAAAACATTGACAAGAAAAAATACTCTTGATTCAATGAGATTTAAGCTTAAATCAAGAACCAAGCCTCTTAATTTGAGCGGATTCTTTTTGATTTAAGCTTAAATCTGCTTGAGTCAAGAGTCCTTTTTCTTGTCAATGTTTTCAAGAGTCTGGACTCTAGATCCAATGTGTTTTTTTCCCCCCAGTATATGTTTCTTGAGTGCAACAGAGACATTTCAAACTATTGAAGGAGGACCGTTGGCTGGAATATTTAATTTCTGTTCGCGGCTAGGAAAATTCAATTTACACTCTAACGATACGGGGGAGACGAAAAAGAGTCGAATTTCACCGTTCATATGTAGCGATCAGAGCTGACATGGGGGCGAGCTTTGAGTCGGAAGACTCGTAATTGAATTCCAAAGTTCAGACTTGTTATTTTTTATTCGTCCGCGAGCGATGACTCATGCCAGGATTGATTTCTTCGGATACGAGCGTTGACCACTCGTTTATTTACAATCCAGGCCAAATGCGGGGAGCCGCGGGCGTGTGTCCCGCAGCTGGACCCTCGCTCTGCCGCACAGTGGATCGAGTCAATACGAGAGGTCGGACAAAATTTGGAAACTTTCCGAGCTTTTAACTCCTTCTATACAAAACTTTGAGGTTCTAGAAATGGTTCCACTGGTTTCCTCGTGAAATTTTCTTCTAAGACCACCCCTTAAAATTTTTAATGTGACGAATTAAACATCAAAATTTGCGGTTTTAGTCAAAAATTTCATGTCCGACCTCTCTAATTGACTCGATCCACTGTGTGCCGTCCTAAGAAAGGACGCTGTACGAGCATTCGTATGTGTGTCCTGGAAATTTACGGTCCTGTATGCTTGCTTCAATCACGAAGCGAATGCAATTTTTTTAAAAATAACTGGAGGGAGGGGGGTCTACAATAAATCCAAGAATCAAACAACAGATACTATTTTTTCTATTTAGTTCACTCAAGGCTCCATTATTCTGCCGCGATAGCGAAGAGAGCGGTAAGTGCATGCTGGGATGAGCCTCGAGACACATAAAAGCACGTGCTAATCATGGCTCATACAGACTTGCACTTACTGCTCTCTTCGCTATCACGGCAGATAGTGGCGTAACGTGCTTCGATATATATCGATATTCCTCCACTTGAAGCTATGGTAAAGAATCGATTATTAAGGTGTTCGTTGGGAACACCCTAATAATCGATCCTTTTCCACAGGTTTAAATAGCAGATCAATCGATATATCGCAAAGCACGCCACGCCACTGACGGCAGAATTACATCGCGCACAAGGCTTCATTTATTTCATAGTTCACGGCACGTTTTAAAAAGGTTACCGACAATAAGACGAAATCATAAATTAGATAGTCTATTTTGAATAAAAGTCCAACAACTTCCATCTCTTCGAGAAAAGCTCCATCATATCTGGGTTTTTGTATCGTAAAGTATTTGAATGCATCACAGCTAGCTTGTGTCCTTTCGCGGTTTGTAGGAATGCATGCATCAAATCGCCGGAGTATGTAATTGAATGCAAACACGAACAAACCAAAGCACAATTGCAGTGTAATGAAGTGCACCGGTCCCTTCGCTTGAGATGTCCCTGCATTATGTATTATGTGCACGGTAATGTGCATGCGCTATCAATGTTGCATTGCGCAATGTTCTACTGCATAGTCAACTGTTGATGGTAATCGTCCCTACGGATGCAGTGCCGATTGCATCGTGGTTCCGTTGTAGATAAAAACATCATTCTGGTATATGTATCCGGTTTTTAATCGACCCGAGATCTAAAATTTTTTTCCAGTTACGCATATTTTTTAAGGTGATTTGACGGTTGCCATTTTTTTGTGTCAGAGCGACGCGCGATACATCGCATCAATTCGTTTCATTATTTCAGCTACTTGTTATTTCTTTCGAAATTTGAGATCGCGCTTCTGTTGTCATGAGACTGCAGAATTCATGTACCAAATTTGACAAAGAAATTCAACGTAATAAGGGCTGGGTTTTTTTAGAAGAAAAATATCAGCTTCGAGTGCAGTTTCTATATCAGTATCGAATGCAAGAATTGCTGGCTCATCCGTAAAATCACAAGTTTGCATATTGAAACTACTATTGTACGTACTTACGTAGTTTTGAAGATGAGCCAGAAATATTAGTTACTAATTTATCGGGAGGGTAGTTTGTAGTTGCGTGACCCAACTGAACGCTTAGAACACCTTCAAATCTGGCGATACTTCCCGCTTTGCCGAGAGGTTAGTTTAGTTGCGTGACCCAACCGAACGCTTAGAACGCCTTCAAATCCGGCGATACCTCCCGCTTTGCCGGGAGGTTAGTTTAGTTGCGTGACCCAACCAAACTCTCAGAACGCCTTCAAATCTGGCGATACTTCCCGCTTTGCCGAGAGGTTAGTTTAGATGCGTGACCTACCTGAATGCAACACATTGTTAGTTTACTCACTTTACTGCACGCAGCAAGCTGATACCATCAAAAGAAGCATTACAAACAGTGTTTCCTTTTTCATCTTTACCTTTTAATTTTTGCATTTTTCATGCGTCACAAATAAAAAGTAAATATTTCGGCAATTAGTAAAAATGTAGTATGTTAGTAGGTATTCAGTATATTAGTCAACCATGCCTAACATATGCCTCTAAATAGTACAACCTGTTGAATGCAACAATTTCAAAGTATTTTAACCTTAAAATGCATAAAACTGGATGATTTTTAGGCAGAAATTGAAGGAAGATTAGCGCCACACGTGCCTCGAAATGCTCTCAAATAGAGTTAAAATTTAAAAAATTTCAAGCTGGGGGATATTCCATACCCCCCAGATCCCCCGGTGGTGGGGGGCAAGCCCCTCCCCCCCCTAGCAAAATGACCTAGCTACGCCTATGATCATAATCAACCTCAAGAAACTTAGATAATCTTAGCAGCACTGTAGAGGTAACTTACACAACGCACCTCTTCTAAAATTGGCGGCTCTAATTTACTCAGCACTGCGAAGATTGACCTATTTTAACACGGGGAGCTCAAGGAGCAAGGAGGGCTCAGGGCCCAAAAGGGCAGCCAGCCTTCTAACACACAAAATTTCACTGCTAATCTTCAGATTCCAATTCAAACAAAGATGGCGAAGTATGTCAGAAATGAGCGTTCTTCCGCAAAGCGCTTGCGCCAATGCAAAATTCGAAAGAAACGGCAAGTAGCTAAAATTATGGAACGAATTGATGCGATAAATTGCACGTCGCTCTGACACAAAAAATGGAACCGTCGAATCACTTTAAGCTAGGAATTGAGTGAAATCAGAATGGAACAAGATGGAAGAAAGAATCGGGACGGTCTTGGGACCCCCCCTCCCTCCCCGGCATCTGCCACTGTCTCGGGAGAGAATCCCAGGCTCTGATTTCCGATGTACGCAGATCAGAAAAAGTTCAAGGTTAGACTCAGTTAGCCTTTTTTAATATGGATAAATACAGAATGAATGAAAATTTTTCTCGGCAATTTTTTAAAGATTGCCAGGTACTTGTTTTCAAAAGAGTGACAATTATTGATCCGGTCTGTTTTTTCAGTTTGACGGATTTTAGTATATTTTTGGCCTTTGATATCATCGAAAAAAGACACTTGTAAACGTATAAATTGGAGAGAAAAAACTTGCAAAACAGTGAAACACTTACTTTTAGAGGACGAGTGGTTTCTTCCAATTTCAGCTAGAGAACGGATGATGGGAAGTCTCGATGAGGTTTCTTTCCGTCTTTCATGTTGATGTCTATGTTTTCTCATCAAGACTTCATGAACCTATCAACACACAAGAACAATTATCGTGATACAATGATTTTAAGCCATCTTTTTCCAAGAAAAGACAGGAGAGCATCGGCAGAAAATTACACATTCATGAGATGGTTATTTAAGGAAGTGTTAAAAACCTCAGGCCTTTTCACCGAACGCAATTGCCTTCATTATTTAGATCGGTTTCGGGGTCGCCCACGCAAGTAAACAGAGTAAAATTGGAGGGGATCTAAAAATAATCCATGGAGATAGCCTCTTCAAGTTTTTTTACATTTCCATGGTTCAGTTGGCACACCTCAATCGAAGACCTTTGACATTTTGAAGCCAGCTCGAAGCCATTGTTGCGAAAAACAGATCGCGTGTTAAGACGGATGTGGCATTACAACCGATTCAAATAGTCGGGAAGGTTTAATGAGTTTCAAAGGGTCTGAAGTAGTGTATCGTGCTGAGAGAAAACATTGTATGAACATTTGTTCTTCGCCGATTTTTCTCTGATGAAATATTTATTTTTAGGGAAAATTATTAATATTTTTCATTTAAATTTTCAGCTGCGCTAGATGAAACCACACATCAAATTCCCTAAAAGATCCAAACAGAAACACTCATAAGTTTATTAGGAAATTCGAAATTCATCATGAGAAATGTGGCTACGCCAGAATGTTCATGCGTTGTTTTGCCTTAGCTTGGTGGTAGAGACGTAATGATTGCACGACAATCGACATGTTCTCGGCCGAGTAGGCGGGTGGGGTCCTGTCATTTCACGTGAATGAGCCCTTGTTTTGCGAAAAAATATGTTTTTGACAAGCTTCAGATCACCATTCGCTCTCAATCCATCGATTCCAGATAGAATTTATGGTGATTGGGAAAAAACACGATTATACGGGAAATTATTTTTAATTCTAATGCTTCATTCTTCACGCTTCGATCAATTCCCATGCCTGCCCTCACGAGCGTATTTATCCCTCTTGTACAAATGCGGAAACGAGAGGCGAATCATTGACTTTAGGCAACGGGGTACGAATTACAGCAATGTCATTCGATATTCTTAGGGAGAAAACTCCGGAGGTGAATCGACCTGCAACTCAACCCTCGCGGTGCCCCCCCTGACATCCAAAAGGTCCAAACCCCCGGGGGCTGCCCACCTGGCGCCTAAGGAGCCAGAGCCGAGGACACCCACCTGGCCCCTAAGGAGCCAAAGCCGAGGGGCCGCCCACATGGCCCCTAAGGAGCCAAAGCCGGAGGCCGCCCACCTGACAACTAAGGAGCCAAAGTCGGGGGCCGCACACCTGGCCCCTGAGGAGCGTTTCCGTTTGGCAGAAATACATCCAATTATGGAGATACCCTTTCATGAACTTTGATCCTTAGCTACGCAAAAAGATTGATGATGTTTCATTTCTACTGAGGTGTTTTCCAACAAAGTTGGAAAACACAAAGTGGGCAGCCCCCGGGGGTTTGGACCTTTTGGATGTCAGGGGGGGCACCGCGAGGGTTGAGTTGCAGGTTGATTCACCTCCGGAGTTTTTTCTCCCTAAGAATATCGAATGACATTGCTGTAATTCGTACCCCGTTGCCTGAAGTCAATGATTTGCCTTCAAACGGCCGGGTATGCAAAATGACTGCCGTGACGCACGAATAGTGGTATCAGAATTTTTCGTTACGTTTACGGATTGATTTGAAGGCGCTCTTCTGTATACATTGTGAGTGGCCTTGTAGAATGATGTTGACCAAAAAGGTCATAATTTTGGGTTTTTCATCGAGCCGCATATTCCAAAAATCCCGAGGAATATAATTTTAAAAAAATAATGAGATTATTTTTGGTCTCAACGTCTTATTTCAAAGAAGAGAGCGCAGGCGGCTGCATCAGATTGTGTATTTTAAGTCTCTTGGTTCGGTCATTGTATTCTGAATCGAAACTGAAAGAGTCGCCGTTTACAAGATCGCAACTTCCTCAAAAGCGGTTGTGAATTTAAAAAGCTTCGCACGGATAAAATGAGCTTTCTTTGATTAACTATGAATAATCAAAATTGAAGAAAAGGTACTTTGTCCACTGGTCCATTAAGAAAGCGTAAAGAATGGATGAATGGTGCATCGATGACCAACTAAATCTTATCTGATAAGGAATTTGAAGTGTGAAACCCTTTTTTCAGTCTTAAATGATGCAGATCCACCAACAAGTTTAAAACACTGATTGCAAAAATGCGTATCTCCTGATGAAGTGTCGATTCTCAGTGCCAAAAACGCGAATCTCGGCATTTCTGCCGTATTTTCTAACAGTTCGAGAAATTATTGAAAATGCTGATGGAGTTTGAAAAAACATCTTATTCTTGCTATCCTCAAGAATTATTACCCTTCTACCGACAATAAAGAGGAATGCAGACAGTTTTTTTACTCTCCTGGAAAATCGTGTTTTCCGAGATTCGCACCTCTGCACTTTCACCATCGATTAGGTGCTTTAGTATTGTTTAATTAACATTTGCACAGGCAGTGATTGTGATTGTTCAGTCAGTAATTTTTACTTTCTCGCGCCCCTAGGGTAGAGAGGAAGTATTGTCATCCTCCAAGAAAAAAAAAGTTGAAATTTCATCATTTCTGGACGTTTTAAGGTCCCAGGAGTCAAAATAACCATACTTGAAAAAATGTGTGTCCGTCCGTCCGATGTCCCCCGAATCTGTGTACAGCGATATCTCAGAATCTATCTGTTCGATTTCATTCAAAATTGGCACAGAACACCATATGTATGGTCTCCTTATGCACGCCAAACGATTTTTTTTCTCATTAATTTCTTCACAAACATTCTCAGGTATAAATGTTGCAGGCAATTAGCAATCGCAGAATACTGTGAGGTGAAGTGCGGTCTCACCTTATCCCTGAGATGTTCCTCGAGCGAGCCGGAACTGACGATATTGTCGAGGACGTTATCAACGATCTGTTCGAGGGAGAGACCCTCCATGTCCAGGATGACGGTCCCGTTGAGGATCAAACTTCGGAGCTCGAAAAGAGAGTGGAGTGATAACGTCGCCACGTGAGGCTTCGACCATCGGTTTCCGCCCTCTTCTACGTCCTCCTCGAACTTGATCCACCTGAAAATCAAAATCATCTAATGTGAATCTCTCTATTTGGAACTAGAATCCCGAAGGTGCTAGAAAAAAAACCTCTTGGACCTATGCCGCATTGCATTGACTTAAGAGTGCAGTTTCTTGTCGCCCGATTTAAGAGTCTTGAAATCTTGTTTCAAGCGGATTTTGCATTGATTCAAGCAGATTTTTCATTGAAACAAGAGTCCAGACTCTTAAATCCGGCGACAAAAAACTGCACTCTTGTACCAAGAGGTTTTTTTTACCAGTGACGAAGCCATTAAACCAGCAGAAAAAAAACTAGAATACCTTTCATTGCGAGTTAAGACAATGTGAATCCATTCCTGATAGGCTTCCGTATATTAGGTCTCCATAGTGTCGCAAACGGGAATAAAGATAACATGTTCATCAATTGCAAAGATTATAATCTGAATGGACCCGGGAATCTCGGGTTCGGCAAGGAACGAACGGAATGCATTAAATTAAAATTTCCTATCCAGAGCACCCCTAAAAATTGAAACTGAGACGAGATAAACGATAAATTTTGCGGTTTTTGTGAAACATTTTTGTCCAACTTTTTTCAAGGACTCGTTCCACCGTTCCGCGAGGGGCGGGAGAAACTAAATTCTTGGCCCCTTCGAAAAAAAAACCAAATGGTTTTGCGTTCTAATTACAAGTATTTCTCTTAAAAATAGTGGAAAAACAAGGATGAAAAAACGGGAAACAAGGCTAAAAATACACAAGTAATGAAACCCGAGACGTTTCGACTCAAAATTGAGTCATTCTCAGTTGGAAACAATAAAAATTTAAAAGTAAAAACGATAAAAAACCTGAGCCCTACATGGTGGCGGCCGGGATCTGAGAGAAAGAGAAA